GTAGTACACTAATCTGTATCCTCTACCTGCAGAGATTCCCTTCAAGCTCTTTGAACATTTGGATAATTGTCTTCCTTCATAATTTAAGTCAAATGTTGGGCTGTCAGGATATTCTTACTTGGACACCTGCCTGAAAGTGTCTATCATGGATTTTACCAAGGATTTGAGCTCTATGCTGTTCACCAGTATCCTCAGAGCCTCGCAGGTGCAGGATAGATAGTTGACTAATGATAAATATCTGTTTTGATCCATAATATCCAAGCTGATCTGATAAGTCTTGTGATGTTAAGGTTTTGCTCCTTCCTTCCAGAAGGTGGCGCCAAAACCACACCTGGTCCTAAGCAGAGGTATTGGGGATGTGGTTGGCATAATTGAAGGCCAGAATCTAGTGGAGAGACAGGGTTTGTTGTGGTAATGCTGGATCCACCTGTAGAAGAAGTTGAGATGGCACTTCTCCAAAAGATGAGTAGATATGAACTGGGATTCTGGATTGTCCTGCCCCCCCTCCTCCACCTATCTCCTCACTAAGAACTCCACAGAGGTAGTTTTTGAAAAGCACAGAAATTTCCTGTGAGCATGGAACTGGAGAAAGGCAATGTTTTCTAAATCTTCATGAAACATTTGGAAGAAACTAAGTCCCAGGCAGAAACAGGCTAATGGGTCAGTAAGAATAGAGGTTGACAGCGCGGTGCCAGTGGTTCATGCCTGTAATCCTAGCTACTCAGGAGGCTCAGATCTGAGGATTGCAGTTCAAAGCAGCCTGGGCAGGAAAGTCCATGAGACTCTTCTTTCCAATTAACCACCAGAAAACAGGAAGTGGTGCTGTGAGTCAAATGGTAGAGCACTAGCCTTAAGCTGAAGAGCTGAGGGACAGCGCCCAGGCCCAGAGTTCATTCAAGTCTCACAATGGACAAAAAAAAAAGAGGGCATGGAGTCTCCAGCTCTACAAAGGGGAAGAGAGGCAGGAACCACTCAGAAGCTTGCCAGACAGCTGAAGAAGTGAATTCTAGAATTCAGATGTGGCCTCTAAGATGGGCTATCTGTAGATCTGGGCTGGAGAGGTTAGCAGGACTCAGAATCTTTCTAGAAAGTAATGGAGACTCCTAGTGGGTTCCTGCACAGGGGAGTGACCTTGGGGAAGACTCACATTCCACAGAGGGAATGTGAAGAGATCCAGCCCCAAACAAAAAAGATCACCAGCTTGCTGATGCAATCATCCAGGTGAAAGAAGAGGATGTGAGAAAATAGAAGCCAGGCGAGGGTGGCTCATGCCTGTAATCCTAGCTACTCAGGAAGCTGAGATCTGAGGATCACGTTTCAAAGCCAGCCCAGGCAGGAAAGTCCGTGAGACTCTTATCTCCAATAAACCACTAGAAAACCGGAAGTGGTGCTGTGACTCAAGTGGTATTGCCTCACCTTGAGCTGAAGAGCACAGGGACAGCGCCCAAGCCCAGAGTTCAAGCCCCACAACCAACAAAATAGAAAAAAAAAGAAAGAAAATAGAAGACCTGAGAAGTCACTGTGAGGAAAGGAACAAGAAAGCTTATATATTTTCAACATTTAATTTAATTAATTCAATTTTTTGTCGGTCGTGGGGCTTGATCTCTGGGCCTGGGCACTGTCCCTCAGCTCTTCAGCTCAAGGTGAGCGCTCTACCACTTGAGCCACAGAGCCACTTCCGGTTTTCTGGTGGTTTATTAGAGGTAAAGAGTCTCACGGTCTCTCCTGCCCAGGCTTGGCTTTGAACCTTGATCCTCAGATCTCAGCCTTCTGAGTAGCTAGGATTACAGGTGTGAGCCACTGGCGCCCCGCTTCAACATCTAATTTTTATTTGCTTTTTCAGTGTAGGGGATGGAACCCATATTCCTGTGCACACCAGGCATTCTACCACCTAGCTGCATGCCCAGCTGTAAAATAATTGTTTTTGGTAGGCAGAGGGGATTGGGGCTTGAAATCAGGACCTTTTACTTTTGCACAAGGCTGATGTTTTACCACTTAAGCCGTAGCTCACTTCCAACTTTTTGGTGATTAATTGGAGATAAAATAATTTTCCTTCCCAGGCTAACTTTGAACTCTGATCCTCAGATCTCAGCCTCTTGAGTAGCTAAGATTATAGACTTGAGCTATTGGCACCTGGTGCTAAAGGGTTAATTTTTTGTTTGTTTGTTTGTTCTTTAGACAAGACTTGGAAGCTATTGATTAGAGGAAGAAGAAAGTGAGAATGAGTGGGCCTCTGTAAACATTTGCAGAAGTCAGACAGCCCTGCTCCTGCCTTGCACAGGTAACTTCTGAGCAGAGGTAGCACCTCCAAAGGTGGTAAGACTGGCTCAGTGAGACCATACTCTTGGCTCAGGTGACAGCCTAAAGCAGAAGCTCCAGGCCCACGTCACCGTCACCGTCACCGTAGCTTGACAGCTTGAATTTCAGTATCAACTCATCCACTTCCTTACTGGTTAACGACCTTGGGTTACTTTACTTCCCTCTATTTGCAAAATGATAATAGTACCTTCCTCATAGGGAAGTTATAAAGCCTAATTAGTATTTACGAACAGTCCCACAGGGCCCATTAGCTACATTTTGTGAAACTGCTAAAAGTGACTTGGTAGAAAAGTTTATCCAAAAGGATAGAGTTCCTCTCCCATGCAGAACGGACTTCTCATCCCAGGTAAAAGCCAAACCTAGTCTCACAATTTCTTTTGGGGCCTTATTTATCTATGAAGTAACATTGACTGGTGACTCAAACCTGTTAGCCTTGCTTCCTTGGGATTTTTGGGGCCCGGCCTAGGGGTGTAAGGACAAATGGTGTTCTAGAATGACTCTACCAATGTGTGAGAACCAACAGTTAATTTTTCAGGACATTGATAATGTAACCATTGCTTACCTGAATTGCCCTATAGTGGAAGTGTTATAGTAATGGGACCAGTGCTGCAGCTAGGCCTTCGTTCACTCCTTCATCTAACACATACCTAGCCCAGTCCCTTCTCCCCTTTCAACACTGGCAATAATAGCTGTGGGATGGGGGAAGGGAGTGACAGGTCTCCAGGGACAATAAAGGGGCCCAATCACCATCTGTTTGGGCATAGCAAGGCCCACAGTCTTAGGCATAGGCACATGAGCGTGTGCACACTGCAGAGTAACTGTCTGCCTTTTGATTGTTCCTCAGTAAGTCTCAGACACAGAGAGTGGTGGCTAAAGTCCTGGAGTCTCACAGAGCTGGGATGGAATTCCAGGTAGGCCACTCCCAGCTCTATGTCCCTCTATATACTGGGGCTCAGTTTGGTTGTTTTTATTTTCCCTTGGAAGTACTGAGACTTAAACTCAGGGCCTTGCACTTTTTAGGCGAGCACTCTTTTTTTTGGGTCAGTCCTGGGGCCTGAACTCTGGGCCTGGATGCTGTCCCTCAACTCTTCCATTGAAGGCTAGCACTCTACCACTTGAGCATCAGCCCCATTTCTGCCTTTTTCTGCTTATGTGGTGCTAAGGAATCGAACCCAGGGCCTCATGCATGCAAGGCAAGCGCTCTACCACTGAGCCACCTTCCCAGCCCTAGGCGAGCACTCTTACCACTTGAGTCAAGCTCCCAGCTTTTTAAATTTTGCTTTTGTTATTTTCCTAAACAGTTTTCTACTTTTGTCCAAGGTTGGCTTCAGACTATAGCCCCCGGGGCTCGGAAGGTGGCTCAGTGGTAGAGCGCTTGCCTTGCATGCCTGAGGCCCTGGGTTCCATTCCTCAGCACCACATAAGCAGAAAAAAAAAGCCGGAAGTGATGCTGTGGTTCAAGTGGTTAAAGCGCTAGCCTTGAGCTGAAGAGCTGAGGGACAGCGCCCAGGCCCAGAGTTCAGAGTTCAGGCCCCACGACCAGACCCAAAAAACAAAACAAAACAAACTATAGTTCCCTATGTAGCTGAGATCACAAGTAGGAACTACCATATCCAACTTGCTTGTTGAGATGATGTCTCACTTACCTTTTGCCTAGGCTGGCATCAAACCATGAACCTGCTGAAGCATCAACGAGTCATAAGTCATCGCCTAATCCTGGAGCTTGGAATTTGAACTCAGCCTCATGCTTGTTAAGCCAAGCTTCCAACCTTTTATGCATTAGTTAGATGTAGAATTTCATTTTGTGTGGAGGCCTGTGCCTAGACCATGACACACCTATTTTAGGTTTCCTATCAAAGCTGGATGACAAGCATGTGCCACCAGACCCACCTTCGTCTGTTGAGATGGAGTCTTGCAGACTTTTCTGACAGGGCTGGTCTGGAACCACAGTCATCCCGATCTCAGCCTTCTAAGTAACTAGAATGATAGGCATGTATCATTATGCCTAGCTAGGGGTTGAAAAGGAGGTCTTATAAACTTTTTCTACTCAGGCTGTCCTCGAACTGCAATTTTCCTATTTTCAGCCTCACAGGTAACTCAGATTACAGGCATTAGCCACTGGCATGTGGCTTTGGTTTTCTTATCTTTTTTTTTTTTTTTTGTCTATAGTGGGGCTTGAACTCTGGGCTTGGGCGCTGTCCCTGCGCTTGAGCCTCAGCACCACTTCCGGGTTACTAGTGGTTTTATTGGAGATAAGAGTCTCATAGACTTTCCTGCCTGGGCTGGCTTTGAAATGTGATCCTCAGATCTCAGCTTCCTGAGTAGCTAGGATTACAGGCTTGAGCCACCGGTGCCTGGCATTTTTCTTATCTTTAAAATGGATGCATCCTGCCCTGGTATGATGATTTCATAGGCTAAAGTAGAATACCACAAAGTACACACAAAGCCTCCATATGGTGCTTGGTACAGAGTAGGTGTTCAGTAAATGTCAGCCAAGGTTATCACCCCCTCCCACCCCTTCAGACACATTGATCCCACCCAGTGGAACCCAGGCCTACTGGGACTGCTCATTAGCTGAGTTGCCACCCAAGGGCTCAGTGAGTAGCTGAGGACACAGACAGGAGGAAGTAGCTCTGTTTTCCAGCTTTTATGAAAATTAATAACATTAATAGCTCACAGAAATATACATACACACACCTCACTATGTACATAGTCATTAAGTTATTAATTAGTCTCTGTATAAAAAGTTTCTACATTAGTGTTCGGGGCTTGGCCCGCTCAGTCCTTGGCATATTCACAGTAGCAGCCCCAGGGCTTGGTCCTGTGGATGGGCAGAAGGGTGGCAGTATGGAGCTCGGCCAGCTCTATGCAGACACAGATGTCCTGGGCTGTTTGCCTTTCAGTGCTTGGTCCCTGTCCTAGCTGGCACCTGAAGAACAGCTGTCCAGTGAGTGGGCAAACAGGTTCTGGTCCCTCATGTGGCCTGATGACCCAGGCCCTGTGTATGGAGACATCATGGGTCACACAGGCCTAAAGGATGCTGGCCAACTCTGTGGAGTCTGAGTCGGAGCAAGCTGAACTGCTGGCTTCGTCCCTGCAAGAATCAGAGGAGCCCGGTCAGACCAAGAGTTCAAGGGTAAGTCCTTACCCCTCCCCACTGCCACCTGCCTCCTTCTGGGATCCTGGCTCTGCAGTTCAAGCCAGGGGTGGGACTCGTCTAACTCACAGGACAGTTCACTCCCTCCCGCTTTCAGTTCAGGAACTTCCAGTGTCTTTGTTTGCTGTTCTTGCTAGCTAGGCATAGGGCACCACAAACTTCAGGGCCTTGGCTGGCTGATAGACTGGCATGACTCACCCCACATTGCCCTCTGGCCTCAGGCACACCTGAGCTCCTGACCAGGAGCTGCCAGAGCACCAGGCAGAGCTCAGAGCCCAACTCTACCCCTTATCCAGTGGGCACAGCTATACTCTTCCAGGTTAAACCTCAGTTTCTTTCATCTGGACAATGGGAACCCTAAGAATCTTGGCCACCCAGGATTGCCAGAGGACTACACAGATTGTGAACGTACACGTTTAACAGGCAAAGAAGCGCCTCGAAGTCTGGGATTTTGGTGTGTTTTGGCACATGGCAGGCACCCAGAAAGTGTTTGTTGAGTGAATAAAGGTGAAGTCACTCAATTCAGTGGCCAGCATGTAGCTTAATGTTGGGGCTGTCAAGGAAGGATGTGTCAGTGGAAGTCTGGGCTTGGCCACCAGAGGCAAAAGTGGGGACTCAGACTAGATGACAACCCCCTCACTCTCACTGCAGAGCCTGAAGGGCCTTCTTATTCTGCCGCCGCTTCTCCTCGTTGATGGGGTACAGCTTGAAGAGGAAGAGGCCCAGCAGGATGAAGATGATGGGAGCCATGGTCACCAGCATCTTCAGGGTAAACTTGACCAATGATGGCTGGGAGCAGCCCCGTGGCTTGTACCCGGCAAAGCTGTGGGAATGGAGCCAGTGATGAGAACATGATACCTGTGACCTGGGCCTGAACACCCCATAATAGCCCCCCCATCCCACTCACTCAAGACTGAGGGTGGAGATACCCAGCGAGACGCCGGAGGCAAACTTGGTGAAGAACACATAGAAGGAAAAGAAGATGGGCTCGGAGTCATGGCAGTTGGGGTGCTTCAGATGGAAGTCGTCGACGACGTCGGGCAGCATGGACCTAGGGAGAGAGTGGTGGTGGCCTTGAGCACCTCCCCCCCCCCACATAGCCGTCCCCAGGCTTCCACCAGCCTCCATGACCTTGCTGTTGGTAAGAAGAGGCAGTTTTCTAGGGAATGGGCTCCCTTCGCCAAGATGATCCCCATTCTGGGTGCTCAGCTTGATGAATGGTGTATAGGTCAGATTTTAGCCCCTCTTTCTGTGACTGGGTGCTTTTGCACAGTTCACAACCTTTGTAACTGTACAGGACAGGTCAATAGGTCCCTAACCAGTTCTATAAGATCCATCTATTTGGCCCTGTAGTAGAAGCTCCCAAAGAACTCTCTCCAAGGAGCCTTAGAGCTGAGGGTGGGAGGCTAGCAATATACCTACCAAGGTAACAGGAAGGCAGCTGCTACACTGACACCGGCTGCTATGGCCACCACATATGTGACAAACAGGTTACTCTCCATGAGGGCCACCAAGATAAGAAATGGCACTGCTGACTAGGGGAGAAGATGCAGGAAGATGGATTAGCTGGAGACTCTCACTGGCTATCCCTTCACTCCACCCAAGATCCTTGAACTCCACTCACTGAGATGCCAACATATACAGCTGTCTTCTTGCCAAACCGAGTTAGGAACCACTGCCAGATGGGAATGGTGAATGTGGCTGAGAGCTATGGAAATGGGTGAGAGGGATGAGTTAGTGCCACAGAATCTCTCCAGCCCTTCCCAAGACCCCAAAGATGCTCTATCCTTGCCAAGAGCAGCCAAGTGGCACTCTATGGGCAGTAAGGAGGTGAAGGCGCATGTGTGAGAACTCCCTTGGGGAACTGAGAGATAGTCCAGCTTTTTAACACCTCTGAACACAAAGTTCTATAACCACCTTCTCCTCCTCCTCCTCCTGTTCCTCCTCCTCCTCCTCTAGCCTCCCCAAAAGCTTAGATTACAGGCATGAGCCACAGGTGCCCAGCTCCATAAACTTTTTAGTATCTTGGCTTTTGCTAGGCTCACTAAACATCCACCCCAAACTCCTCTTACAATCCTCCCTAAGCAATTATAGGTCAAGTCCAACCAAATATTCTAGAAAACCTGCCTCATCCCTTCAGGACCATGGCCTAGTCAGGGGACATCCTCTGACTGGTGGAAGAACCATTCCACAGCCTGTGCTATAACCGTCTAGTCTGCCCACCACCCTCAGTTCTCACACTCACCATGATGGCCAAGAGTAGATTCTGGAATTCATTAGGGAAGCCCAAGGTGTAGGTGCAAAACAAGGCGAAGTTTCCTTCCACCAGCTGGGGGATGGGTAAGGGAGAGGAAGGAAATGACAAGGAAAGACATGATGTTGGGGCTGAGGTACCCTAATATATTCGCCATGCTTACCCCTCCCCCATTCTACCTGTCCCTCAGCTTAGTCATCTCCTGAGTCCTCTCCAACCCCACTCCCATTACACCTCCCCTCAGATTTCCCCAAGAACCAATAGTCACATCCCCAACTCACCATAAAAGCCAGGGAGGTAAAAAGGAAGCCAGCAATGAGTTTTACATAGGGACCATGGCTCATGACCAGCCGGAGGCCCCGAACGAAGGATATTTGTTCAGTCTTCTGGGCCTCATATGGTTCTAGGGACCAGAGGACAATGAGGAGGGAGCGGAGAGCTAGGCAGAAAGACACAGCCCCCTTGTGGTAAGATCTGCACCTTTCCCAGGGCCCTACTTACCTCTCTGCTCCCGCACCCCCAGGGTCAGGATGATGGCACAGATGACATAGATAGAGGCGATGACCCCTGCTGCCAGCAGGTATGCATTTTGCTATAAAAGAGGCAAAGGGCACAAGATAGAGACAGTCTGATCTCATCCTAGCAGTCCCACTGCACAATCTCAGACCAGTCCCTTCTCCGCAGGCCTAACTGTCTCCATCTATGAACTAGAAGGACCATCCTGGGTCTGCAGTGGCTTCTCAAGGCTGTGCAAAGTTCAGGTGTATACAATGTTACAAAGCCAAAGCTGTGGAGTCTTGGGGCCTGCAGTTCATATCTGCACTCCATTAGCTCTACCACCCTGGGCAAATAGCACAAGCCTCTCTGGGCTTCAGTTTTCTTATCTGCAAAGTGGACATATTGCCATATTAAAAGTGTTAAAAGTTCTATGTTGGGCACCAGTGACTCATGCCCGTAATCCTAGCTACTCAAGATGCTGACATCTGAGGATCATTTCAAAGCCAGCCCAGGCAAGAAAGTCTGTGAAACTCTTATCTTCAGTTAACCACCAGAAAAGCTGGACGTGCTGTGGCTCAATTGGTAAAACACCAGCTTTGAGCAAAAAAAGTTGTCTGAATAAAGGCTCTGAGTTCAAGACCAGCAGACACACAGAAAAATCATACATATCACATGCCCTATAGTTAGTAACCATTAGCTGTTATTACTACTTTTAGGATGAGTGCAAAACCTTTATAGTTCTCCATCCCCTCCAATCCCTGCCCTGCAAGAGGCCTCACCGTTTGTTTTAGTGAGGTGGTGCTGTGTGTTCGATTGGCACTTTCCGGGGCCAATGAAGATTCATTAGGGTAATGGAGACAAGGAGCATTTGCTTGGCCCACAATTTGCCCCTGGATCGCTGTGCCTAGCACTGTGCCCAGCACCTCCACGGTCATCCCTGGATAGTGAAAAGAAGGTCTTTATAGAGGGACTTGATTTGTAGGCCCAGAGGGAAAAGCCAGATGAATGGAGCCCAACTCTAGCTCCAAGTATGATGGATGTGAGGACAGGGCAGAGGACACTTGGGCCTACACGTATGTGGTCCTGTGTGATCTCAGGTTAGTCCTTGAATCTTTCTGGGTCTCCCTTGAGCAGTAAGTTCTTTTTAAGATAATTTCATGGGATGAGGATGTAACTTAGTGGGAAAAGGCCTCATATGCAAAATGTCTTGAGCAAGGAGCTGGGCCCACAATGGAAGAAGTATAGCAGGAGGATCTGGAAGTGAAAGACCCAGGGTCCCCTATGGGCAAGGTCAGGCCAGCTGAGGAGAGACTTACGATAGGCAGTGGCAGAGTCCCGCTCGCTCTGCTCCGTGCTGATGAACATGGTGAGCGCTGAGTAGGGAACGTGGAAACACTGGCATAGAACAAAGACCTTTGCCAGTCAGACAGAGGGCAGACAAATGAGGAGGGCCCAGGGACTGCCTCACCCCTGCCCCCAGAGACACCCAGAAGTGTGGAGAAAGGGGAGGCTGGGGACATACTCACCGTGACCAGTGTCTCAAAGAGGCAATAGAAAATTAGGTACCAAAGGGTCTGGCCCTGTGAGAAGTCAGGCACGAACCAGATGAGGAAATAGGCGATGACTGCCAGGGGTGTGGAGAAGATGATCCTGAGGAAGGGAGAGGGTTGAAGAGGAGGCTGAAAGCTACAACTCTCAAGAATTGGCCCAGTCAGAGGCTCTACTGGGTACCCACCAGGAAGGCATTTCCTCTCCTTAATCTATCCATCTCAGGGCCTCTGGGAAGATGCTAATGGCCAAACCTGGAAGGGTCCACTGGGACAGGATCCCTGGCTGAAACCCTGAACATGGAGCATGAGACGCTCAAGAGCAGACCTTGAGTTTTGCTAAGGTTTCAGCAGCAGGGACTTCCAGGCTAGGGGAGCTGAGAATGGAGGCCAAGACCTTGGTAGAACAGGGAGGGAAAGAGAAGGAACAATCCTAGCATCTAAATATTTTCACCTATGTGCAGGCAGCATTTGTACACAAGGAAGGAAGCTGGAGTGGGGTAGGGAAGGCCAGCTCTAGGTGAAGGAAGATCGAGGGCCATGTGGGAGGGTTTTAGGGCAAGGGAGGTCGGCCATATGTAAGTCTCACCTATCACAAGTGCTTAGACTCTATGGAACAGTGACAGGCAAGGAATATAAAGGTTAAAAGGAAGGCCTGTGAGTAACACTTTAGGGATCCAATTTGGCTTCTCCCAACCAGCTACCAAAACTCTTGTCTGGGCACTATGGCTCACGCCTGTAATCCTAACTACTCAGGAGACTGAGATCTGAGGATTGCAGTTTGAAGCCAGCCCCAGTAGGAAACTCTGGGAGATTCTTATCTCCAAAACACTACTCAAAAAAGCCAGAAGTGGCACTGTGGCTCAAGTGGTAGAGGGCTTGTCTTGAACAAAAGAAGCTCAGGAACAACACCTAGTCCCAGAGTTCAAGCCCCAAGACCAGCAAAAAACAAACTCTTAAGTTCTCTGAGGCTTGTTTCCTCATATGTAAAATGAGAGGAAAAAAAATAGCACATGCTTCCCGCTCAGTATTTACTTTATATATTAAGTGTCAATTATGCTATTTTAATTTCTTGGAGAGAAGAGTCGTTTAAAAATATATCATCAGGGGCTGGGAAGGTGGCTCAGTGGTAGAGCACTTGCCTTGCATGCCTGAGGCCCTGGGTTCGATTCCTCAGCACCACATAAGTAAAAAGAAAAAAGCCGGGGCTGGGAAGGTGGCTCAGTGGTAGAGCGCTTGCCTTGCATGCTCAAGGCCCTGGGTTCGATTCCTCAGCACCACATAAGCAAAAAGAAAAAAGCCGGAAGTGGCACTGTGGCTCAAGTGGTAGAGCGCTAGCCTTGAGCTGAAGAGCTGAGGGACAGCGCCCAGGCCCAGAGTTCAGGCCCCATGACTGGACTCAAAAAAAAAAAAATTAAAAAAAAAAAAAAAGAAAAGTATTGGAGATGTAAGTGGTGATTGTCATACAAAGATGTGTATGGATTTAATGTCACTTTGCTGAAGACTTTTAAATGGCTCTCATGGAAGCCATTTGCTCAAGCCTGTAATCCTAGCTTCTTAGGAGACTGAGATCTGAGGATCACAGTTCAAAGACAACCAGGGCAGAAAAGTCCCTGTGAGACTCTTATCTCCAATTAGCCATTCAAAAACCAGAAGTGAGCTGGGTGCCGGTGGCTCATGCCTGTAATCCTAGCTACTCAGGAGGCTGAGATCTGAGGATCACAGTTCAAAGCCAGCCCTGGCAGGAAAGACCATGAGACTCTTATCTCCAATAAACCACCAGAAAACAGGAAGTGGCATTCTGGCTCAAGTGGTAGGGCACTAGCCTTAAGCTGAAGAGCTGAGGGATAGCGCCCAGGCCCAGAGTTTAAGCCCCATGACAGACAAAACAAAAAACAAAAAAAAGCAGAAGTGGTGCTATGGCTCAAGTGGTAGAGTGCTAGAGAGACTCTGGGACAGTTTCCAGGCCCTGAGTTCAAGCCCTACAACCAAAAACTACAACAACAAAAATGGTTTTAATGGTCAGGTTTTGCCAGTTTCTAAAAAGGTTATTGGGCTGGGAATGTGGCTTAGTGGTAGAGTGCTTGCCTAGCATGCATGAAGCCCTGGGTTCAATTCCTTAGTATCATGTCAATAGAAAAAGCTGGAAGTGACTCTGTGGCTCAAGTGGTAGAATGCTAGCCTTGAGCAAAAGAAACTCAGGGGCAGTGCCCAGGCTCTGAGTTCAAGCTCCAGAACTGGCAATAAATAAATAAATAAGTAAACAAAAAGGCAATATAAAATATTAGAAGGGTGGTAAGGGTTTATGGAGAGAAGAGATACAGCAGGATGCAGAGAATCAGAAATGAAAATGGTGTTCCATTTTCAGGGGCAGAAAATCTAGGCTTCACTGAGCAGATAGTAACTGCAAAGATAGATGAATCCAGGAACTTGTTTGGCAGATGTCTGAGGCAAGAGCAGGTGGGCTGGGGAATGGTCAGTGCAAAGGTCCTCAGGCAGAAGTATGCCTAGCCAGGTTGAGGAATATCAAGGTTGTGGGGCTAGAGCATAGTGAGCAAGAGAGATGGAATTAAAAGATAAGCTAGGAGAAGAAATGGGACACCTCAGAGGCTACTGGAAGGGCTTAGGTTCTACTTCAGAGACTTTAAGAAGTCTTGAGACTTAAATAGGAAAATGTAGAACAGTGCTTGGGGTACTTAGTGTTTGCTGTGATCACATCAACAGAGCAGCCACACACAGGGCATTGGGCTTGGGACTCAACTCAGGTCTAACCACAAGCCCCGCCTACTGCTTCTCAGCCTCCCTGAGTCACACTGTTGAAACCTTGCCACTCACTGCTGGCTGAGAATGCCAGGAAAAGCAAATGTCAGTCTTTCTGCTCTGGAGGACAGGATCTAAATGAAGACTTAGAATCCAGGCATCATTGTTCACACCTGTAATCCTATTCAGGAGGCTGAGATCTGTGGCTCATAGTTTAAAGCCAGCCCAAGCAGGAAATATCTCCAAATAACCATCAGAAAGCCAGCAGTGGAGTTGAGGCTGAAGTGGCAGAACACTAATTAGCCTTGAGCACAAAAGGTTAGGGACAGAACCCAGGCCCTGAGTTCAAGCCCCAGGACCTGCACAAATGAATGAATAAATAGATAAATAAAAATGCAGGCTTAGAGCAAGAGTGATCTGTGACCTGGAAGGAGAGACAGTGCAGGATTTACCTTAATGCGCCCCCAATTTTCCTATATTGCATGTGAAAGGGTACCAGGTCCTCAACACTCATGAGGGGCCAAGGGTTGTCAGTGTTGTGTACATAGGAATGTCATGTACATAGCAGCCCCTTGGCCCCACGAGCCACCCAGTGAATGCTCAGACAAGCATAGAACTGCGACAGAATGCATCCGAGAGGGCCCCAAGCAACTTTCTCAAACAGCTACCACACCTGCCCAGAGTACTCAGGTCCTCTCTCAGGCAGTGAGGGCCTGCTGGGCTCCGCCTCCCCCACCCCACACAAATCCAAATGAGTGTCTTTGCAGAAAACAAGGCTTCCTCCTGGCCTTCCCCAAACACTCCATCCCGGGTTGCAGGCATCTGAGCAGCGCTGAGGAGCCCCTTGTGACTGGGAGTAACCTCATGTGTTAGGCTGGTGGAGCAGCTGCCTCCCATTGGCCGGGCCTCATGAGGAGATGTGGCACAGAGTCCCGCCTTCCACTGGCTGCCAGGAGACGGGCAATGAGCCAAGTCTCACGGGCTGGTGCTTAGGGAGCCCTGCGCAGCCTGCCCAGGTAAGGCAGGCTATGCGGGCCGGGCCCGGGCCCTGGTCCTCCCTAATGCCTGGATCAAAGGCTCTAACCTGGGCCTTCGCCAGGGACTGGCAGGATTGGGGTGGGTGGGGGGCCTCGTGGGAAAGGAAGCTGTGGAGGTGTGGGGGCTGTGGGAAGAGCTTTGAAGGCCGGAGACCAGGTATGGGCGCCCCTGGGGCAGGAAGGCGCCCACTTGAGCTTGGATGGGCTGGAGATGAAAGGGGTGTTCCCCCCCACACTCCCTGAAGCAGGATGTCCTGGAGGGAATCAGAGGCCCAGCCCGGCCTGTCTTGTATGTGTCTCCCTTGCTGTCTGATCTATGGAACCGCCTCCACCCTCCTACCCCTTCCTTGTACCACAGCCTGAGACAGAGCAGTATAGGGTAAGTAACAATGAAAAATGTAGTTCACATCATCTAAAGCATTAGAGATTATGGGCCTCCAATCTTATTCCCAGTATTGTCCCTAACCCCTGCCCAGCACAAACCGCCCTGAAGGAGTGCCAAGTTCTCTATTACTTAATATATCCTAGACACTGTTCTCATGCTTTTCATAACAAACATTTAGCTGGGTGCCAGTGGCTCATACTTGTAATCCTAGCTACTCAGCAGACTAAGATCTGAGGATCATGGTTCAAAGCCAACCCAGGCAGCAAAGTCCATGAGACTCCTATCTCCAATGAACCACCAAAAAGCTAGAAATGGAGCTGTAGCTCAAATGGTAGAGCCTTGAGCAACCCCAGTACCAGAACAAAAACAAACAAACAAAAAACCATTTAATTCTCACTGTGGCCCTATGAGACGTTTCTTATTTTATCCATTTTCTAGATGGGGACTCTTAAGGTTCAGAGACATTAAGTGACTTGCTCAACATTGCACAGATACTTCTAATGAATCTGGAGTTCAAACCCAGGCAAGTTATCTAGAGTGCACTCTTCCCACTGTTCTTAAGACCTACCTCTGTCACTAGAGTAGAGGTAAGTAGAAGATAGAAGTCCAGGTTTGCTAAGAATGAATGGACTTCAGGGAGCCATGAGGTTAGGCTGAGGAAAGCTAGCCAGCCTAGCACTTGGACCAGCCTAGGAATAAACAGGCTAGGTAGGTGCCCCATGACCATGTCTGGGCAGCTGAGGTTTTAGCTGGGGTTTCAACACTTAGGCTTTTACATCATCCCTTTTCCTTACCCCCTCCAGCCTGTGACAAGAGATAGAAGGACCAAGAAGAGGCAGATAAACAGGAAGCCTGGCCTTCTGCATCTTCCACTTACCAGGGCATGAGGCGACCCAATTGGGTCCAGGGGGACTTGCTGATGCAAAAGCCCACCAGAGGGTCAGTGACAGCATCCCAGGCTCGGCCCACAAAGAGGATTATGGAAGCAGAGAAAGGGGTCACCTACAATGGGGAAGACACAAATGACAACTCATTCATTCTACTCACCTCAGTCCTCACTAGTAGGCAAAGGCAGCTAGGCCCTTGAGACCCTGTGCTGAGCCTCAGAACAGTGGGGAGATTGCCCAGTGCAATCTCAGTGTGATGTTAGTGGTAGCTAGGTACTGGTGGCTCATGCTTGTAATCCTAACTACTCAAGAGGCTGAGATTGGAGGATCATGGTTTGAGGTCAGCTGGGGCAGGAAAGTGTGAGACTCTTATCTCCAATAAACTACTCTGAAAAAGCCAGAAGTGGCACTGTGGCTCAAGTGGTAGAGCGCTAGCTTTGAATACAAAGAGACTCAGGGACAGTGCCTAGGCCTAGAGTTTAAACCCCAGGATGGGGAGGGGGATGGGGGAATGATAGTAGCAGGGATATAGCTCAGAGGCAGAGCATTTACATTGTATGTGTGAGGTCCTGGGTTCAATTCCCAGTACTGTGAGGGAAAAATAAAATTACAATAGCATTTTCTCTGATAGTAACAGGCCTGTGTTAGAAGCTTTTCAACCTGCTGCTTCCCTTAGAAACATCCCATCAATGGGGTTAGGAAGGTGGCTTTGCATGCATGAGGCCCTGGGTTCAATTCCTCAGCACCACATAAGCAAAAAGAAAAAAGCCGAAGTGGCGCTATGGCTCAAGTGGTAGAATGCTAGCCTTGATCTGAAGAGCTGAGGGACAGCGCCCAGGCCCAGAGTTCATGCCCCACGACCAGACCCCCCCAAAAAAAGAAACATCCCATCAAATAGAATGATTCTAGAATCATTTACTTGCTTCTCTCTCATGTGAGAGACCTGATATGAGAACTAACATTCACTGAATAAGCACAATGTGCATCAGTTTCTCCATTGTGTAATGTGAATTATGCTACCTGTTTTACAGGGTCAAGCTCTGTCTTGGCTCAGCTGGGTGCTTGCCCATCAGCTGGGTGCTAGTGGCTTATACCTCTAATCCTAGCTTCTCAGGAGGATGAGATCTGAGGATTATGGTTTGGAGCTAGCTTATGCAGACAAATCCATAGGACTCTTACATCCAATTAGCCAGCAAACAAAACAAAACAAAACCCTGCACCTGGTGTCTCAGACCAAATGGTAGGGTGCCATTATTGTGTGAAAAAGCCAGTGAAAACATGAGGCCCTGAGTTCAAGCCCCAGTAGAGAGACATGTATACATACATTTCCTCAAGTTATCCACTGCCAAACACTCTAGTCTCTATATTTAGATTCTCTGGGTTCCTCTGCATCCATCACAACCCTGCTATTGCTATTGCTCTAAAAATCTAGCAGCATCTTCCACACGGTAGCTCCCGCTAATCAGATCCCCACCTTCAGCTCCAAAACTGGCTACATACAGTTTAATGCTTCAGCTGTAGGTTTGTCAGAATTATACCCTAACCTGAACCTAACCCATGGGAATTACGCAAAAACTAGCTGTTGAATGAATCATTTATCCTTTCTGGGGCTTAGTGTTCCCCACCTGTAAATGGATACAATGAAGATGACCTGCCTGCCAAGTCAGAGGTTACACAGAAAAGACAGCCAGGGCGGGAGCCCGGGCAGCCATGGCTATTCAGTCTTCCACTGTCCCCTCCAGACAGGGTGAATTCTCAGGATGCCAGGCTGCTGGCCAAGGCTTCTCAAAGCACAAAGTAGCCCAGCTTCACCGAAAGCATCCCTCTCAATCAAAGCCCCTATACACTGGACATTTTTAACTTAACAAAGCATTTGAAGGCCTTTCTGACAACTGACAGGCCACTGTTCCCCAGGTGAAGGCGGAATATACCTCCTTCACAAGCCTGGCAACGTCCACTAACCTCTGAGCCAAGCCAGCTGACTGTCTTCCAGCCAGGGACATGGTGTGACAGTATCTTCTGAGAACAGTATCACTAGTCAGTCCCATTCTCCTTTAACTGCTGTCTACCACCTCCCACCCCCACCCCCAGAGGGCTCTATTGCTTTTGCCAGGCAACCAGGAATTGCCAGTTAAGTAAGACTCCTGAGGGGAGAGAGACTTCCCTTCCCTTCCTAGATACTCTGGAAAGTTTTATTCCCCCCATTCACTGTGACTGGGAGAGTACCGTAGGGATCTGGGGTATGTTTTACAGATGGGGAAAACTGAGGGGTACCTATCCTTTCCCATCTCAGAGTGCTACAAGAGCCTAGAGGGCTCAATCCACTCACCAGAGCCACATCCAACAGGTAGATCTGCAGGAAGAACCCCAGGGCACAGCCTGTCACCTGGTAGGGAGCCCCTCCAACAGCATAGCAGAGCTTATTGCAAATGGACAGCTGCTGTTTCTTTTTCGGTTCCTTCTGGGAAGAGAAGAAAAGGATGAAAAGAAGTCCAAGATCCTGGTCTCCATAGACCATTCCTCCAGCCAACGGCCAGGAGGAACAACTCTCGGCTTTGCTGTGTACCCACCCAGAGAAATCTGACTTCCTGCAAAAGAAGAGAAAGAGATCCTCTGTTTTTAAGAACTTGGGGGAAAAGAAATTAATACTGCAGAGGAAGTTACTCCTAACCCACCTCCTGCACACCATCTTTAAAGAACCACTCCCAGGACCTAGGCCACTGCTCCTTTCCAAATTCCAGAAGGCAGCAGACCTGTCCCCACCTGGTACTAGCTGCCACAACCTGAAAATCCTCTTGCTGCCAAAAGCTGCCTGAGCCCAGCCCAGACTCCTGCCCTGGCTCAGAGGCCAATATCCACCTGCCTCCTGGGTGAGAGCTCAGTTGCAGGGGCCCAGCCCAGCTGGCTGCAGACACAGCTGTTCATTCCATCTGTCCCAGAGCTCCCTGGTCCCTGTAGGCAGTCCCAGGATTCAATCAAATCCAGGAGTTGTCCTCCCCTCCAGCTCCCAGACATATACATCCCTTCCAGCTCCTAGGGGACCTTGAAGAGGGGAGGATAAGGCCTCCAGGTAACAGAATGGACCCTTTCTGGGTGGGGCAGTAAAGAGGCTTAGCGTTGCCCCAGGAAAGAAGAGATTGCTCATACGTGGTAACAGCATAATTGCTCACCCGGCTCCTTCCTGGGATCAGTTAATAAAATTAAAAGGCGGGCACCTCACAAGTGGATCTATTGCCAGAGATCCCTTCCTGGGGTGTGGTGGTGGTGGTGGGGAACTCCTGTTTTCATGTGGTCGTTTAATAAGTTCTTAAGACAGGCTGAAGCGGAGGGTTGAGGGAGATGCCCGCCACGCGCTCGAACACGCACATTTACACAAACGCCTCCAGACCGCGCGGCTCCTTTAAGAGCAGAGCCCTTGTTCTTATGAATGAACTTGAGTGGCCCCCGGCAGAGTTGAGGCGCGAGAGTAGGCGGGTGGGGTGGGGGTTCTAGGGAGTAGGGGGTAAACTACGGGGGAACCACAGGGGTCCCCATATTTCTGAGGTCCCTCCACCTTTTAAGGCGATAAACTAGAACCGCTAAGCACTGAAGTACCAGTACAGGCTAGGCGCAGGGACTTCCGCGGAAATGCGGAAAGGAGGTGAGTGAGCAAAAGAGGGCGCCTCCTCTGGCAGCAGACCTACTCCATCACTGCCTGACCCGGGGGCATGCTCCTTCCCCCCCCCCCACACACACCGCGGTCTCCCTTTTGCTTCTAGGCCGGCCTGCCCCCAGCTATCCCGAGTGTCTGTCCCAAGCCCAGATCTAACCTCTGACGCCCTCCTGTACCCCCGTCCTGGTCGGCCCAACACCCCCTGCCCTACTCCTGGCGCGCTGGGCCCTTACCTTCACCTGCGCCGGGCGTTCACCGGGTTGAAGGATGCCGGTGGGCAGCAGTCCTGCCGCGGAGCTGCTCTCGGCGCCCTCTCCTTTGGCCATGACCCGCGGGCCACGCCGTCTGAGGCCGGGACTGGGACGCCGGGATGCTCTCCTGCTCCGTGGGCCCCCACTCTCTCCGGGCTCGCGTCGTAGCCGCCGCCGCCACCACCGCGATCGCCGGTCGCCGCGCACCAGCCGAGCCGGGAAGCAGCCCAGGCACACACTCCCTGCACGCCCCCCTCCGCGCCTCTTAAAAGCTACGGTCCGGCCCTCCGGCATAGGGCCAATCCCTGAGCCGCGCTGCCTTGCCACCAGCCAATCACAGCGCCCGCCGGCTCCCCCATCAGGCCCCACCCACCCCACGGCGCCTAGCCACAGAGCCACGTTTTCTTTTCTTTCTTTTTTTTCAGGGCTCTTTATTTTGCTCCATTGGTCTACTTTTTCCGTTCTTGCATAAACGTTGTATGAGTACAGCACAACTTAACACATTAACACTCTCAAGACGATATTATATGAATGTACCAAAACAACATTTGTATTTCAATAGGCATTTCTAATAAAAAGTTAAATAGAAATGGTAGCAAACAGCTGAGCCCGAACAATCTATTACCTCCAAACTAGAGGTAATTACACTGATTTCGATTGCACTAGGAAAATGACTCGAATTTGTTATCACCACCTCATTCCAGAGGCTTTATAATAATAAGACTAATAAAATAATCACTATAAATATTCAGGATGAAAACAAGACCCGCATCCATTCGTTATTGACAATATTGATAGCCTAGGAGATGAGAAGTCAAAAAAACATAAATTTTAAAACATTATTCTTTTGAGATATATTTTATAATAATGAAGACAGTGAGTGCATCATATTTTAAAATTCAACTTGATAATATCACCATAAAGACAGATACAGGGCTGGGAATGTGGTTTAGTGGTAGAAGTGCTTGCCTAACATAAATGAAGCTCTGGGTTCAATTCCTCAGTACCACATAAACAGAAAAAGGAGATAGTGGTTCTGTAGCTCAAGTGGTAGAGTGCTAGCCTTGAGCAAAAGAAGCTTAGGGACAGTGCCCAGGCCCTGAGTTCAAGCCCAGGACGGGCAAAAATTATATATATATATTTGTACCACAACCTGGGAGAAGTAAGACCAGCATGTAATAATATGTAAGGGATTACTACCTGGATTTTGTTTTTGGGGGATCAGTCGTGGGGCTTGAACTCTGGACCTGGGCCCTGTCCCTCAGCTCTTCAGCTCTTCAGCTCAAGGCTAGTGCTCTACCACTTGAGCCACAGTGCCACTTCTGGTTTTCTGGTGGTATATTGGAGATAAGAGTTTCAAGCACTTTCCTGTCTAGGCTGGTTTTGAACTGGGATCCTCAGATCTCAGCCTCCTGAGTAGCTAGGATTACAGGCGTGAGCCACTGATGCCTGGCTTACCTGGAATTTTATTTCTAAATATGACATATTTCTCTCAGAGAGCCACATTTTCAAACCCTGGAACCGGCATCTGACTGTGCATGCTCCTTGCACACTAGAGAAGGCTGAGAGACCTATCTGGGGTTTCCCCAGGGAAATTGAGGCCCAAGACTAAACATGACCTGCTCAAAGCCCCCCAGAGTGAGTTCTCCCTGAGTCAAGCCCGATGACTACGAATTCTTAACCCCCTCCCCTTTCAGGATATAGGAAAACTAGGGACTCTGAATCTCAGTGTCCCTTCAAAATTTGGAGGCTGGTTGAGTGTCCCCCTCCCCTAAACATAGAGATTATAGACTGTTACTTTCCCGGCCTCTCTCCTAAGTTTCCCTACCTCCAGAAATCCACCATTCCTTCTTCTGTCTTTGGCAACTAAGGGGCCCTTCAGTGATGGGACCGGAAAAACTGAGGCGCCCAGTGGCCACTCCTTCCCACTGGGTGGAGAAGAGCCAAGCCCACAGGCACTCTTACAATAAGATCAGCCTTTTATGGACAGCCTTTACCATCTCTATCTGAGGTTGAAACTATTATTATCCCTATTTTGCAGCTGAGAAAACGGAGACTCCAGGAAAAGGAACAGCTGTTATGTGACGGAGCAGGGACTGGAAGGTTTTGTCCTGTTCCAGAGTCTTTGCTCTTGACATACGTTACTGAAAACTGAAGGGTGCACAAGTACCTCCCCAACAAGACGCTCTAGGAGACACAAAGCTACAGAGGCCCTTTGGGTTGAAACAGTCAAGGAAAGGATTTGTGAAAGAAGATACAGAGGAATGTGGCCCTTGAAAGAGGACCACAGACTAAAACAGAGGTCAGGCATAGATGCCAGAAAAGAACAATCTTTTCCACCTCTGCCAAAATCACCACAGACTTTCCAGATACTTGGGGCTGGGTGAAGGCCAGTTCTCCCTGGTCTCTAAAGGGGTTGCTGGGATTCTCACAGGCCCTTCATCCCAGTTCTTGTGGCTCTGTTGGGTTAGGCTTCTTTATTCTTTAACCCTGATTACACAGAAGATAAATGAGGTCTGGCTTGCCAGGATGGCCACACCAAGATTCCTCCTGTGCCCAGCAGATTCCATTTGGGCACACAGCTCCTAGTCTTTTGGTGAGCCAGAAGTAAGCCAAAGTAAAGCTGTGGAATACCATGAAAAGGTCATTATAGCCAGGCACTGGTGGCTCACGCCTGTGCTCCTAGCTACTCAGGAGGCTGACATCTGAAGATCATGGTTCAAAGCCAGCCTGGGCAGCAATGTCCATGAGACTTTTTATCTCCAATTAACCACCAGAAAACCAGAAATTGCACTGTGGCTCAAGCAGTAGAGTGCTCACCTTGAGCTGAAGAACTCAGAGACAGTACCCACGCCCAGAGTTCAAGCCCCATGACCGGGGGGAAAAAAAGTCTAATGAACTGGCCCCCATATCTCTCCCATGTCTCCCTAGGTCCTTTCCACATCTCTCTCCCTATGTGACATGGTACTGTTCCTCTTCTCTCTCTCCAGACTCAGTTTGCTAAAGTGGACTTTATGAACCCTTCCACTTTTAAAATCTTTACTCCTATAGGATCACACCATTCCACAAGTGATCTGTACCCCTACCAGATCACCCTTTCCTGGAAGGTAGCAAATCCATCTTTTTCTTATCTAACTACATAGATTTGGGGCTTGCTTCATCATAGGGGGGAGAGAGAGGAGAAAGAGAGAGAGAGAGAATGTGCACACATGTACGTGCGTGCATGCTTGCACTAGTAGTTGGGCAAGTGCTTTACCACTGAAGCCACACCCCCATTTTTGTTTTTATTTTTGTTTTTCCTTTCTGTTATGATTGGAATAGGTTGTTGTGTTTATGCCTGGTGACCTAGACCTCAGTCATTCTATTTATACTTCCTGTGTAGCTGGGATAACAGGCTTGCGCCACTGTGTCAGCTTTTAGCTTTTTTTTTTTCAGTCATGGGGCTTGAACTCTGGGCCTGGGCACTGTCCCTCAGCTCTTCAGTTCAAGGCTAGTGCTCTACCACTTGAGCCACAGCACCACTTGCTGCTTTTTCTGCTTATGTGGTACTGAGGAATCAACCCAGGGCCTCATGCATGGAAGGCAAGCACTCTACCACTGAGCCGCCTTCCCAGCTCCAGCTTTTTTTTTTTTTAATATTGATTATGATATGAGATCTTGAGAACTTTTTACCTAGGCTGACCTCAAACCATGATCCTCCTTGTCTCTACCTGCTAAGTAGCTGCTATTTTAGGTGTGAGCCACAGGTGCCAGTTTATTATAAGAATTTAATAGATATGTGTGCAGTGAATGAATGATGATTTCAAGGATGAGAGGAGCCCATTCAGAAAAGCTCCCGCCTTCTCCATGAACTGGCTGCGTGGTTGATCCTAGCTAACGCAACCTCCCTGTGTATAAGTTGTATACATTAATAGGACCTACTTAATAGGGTCATGTGGGGATGAAACAAGAAAATGCACAGGAAGCATTCAGCACAAGTGCTTGGGAGCTGAGGCTAGGCTGGTCCCCCTCCTGGCCTGATTCCAGTCTGTCAGTGTAGCAACGCAAGATTCCAGATATGGCCTGACCAAGCCAGCACAATAGGCCTATTATTTCCCCCAGTCTGGACACGACACATTGTTAATGCAGCCTAAGACTGCTAGGCTTCAGAGCCTTTCTCTCTCATGATTAGTTCCCATCAGGTTGTGGTTAACTAAATCATTCAGATCCTTTTCACCAGAGCTGAGGTCAAGTCAGGTCTCTTCCCCCATCCTCAGCTTTGTGTAAGGTCTTAAAGCTCACAGTGGACCCTCATCTTGCTTGTTCCAATCTGTTGGAATAGTTTTGAATGCTGGCTCTATTGCTTAGAGATTTTTTTTCTCTAAATTTAGATCCAGTCTGCCCTTTGCAACTTCAACTCGTCCATCCATATTGTCTGTTAGGAGAGAGCTCCTCCATTAACATGCAACTAACTGGAGACGCTCATTCACTAGGAACTGAATTAGAGCACTGACTAATTATTGAACACTGACTGTGTGCTGGATAAGTACTGCACTAAGTGATTTTGTTTTGCTTTGTGTATATCATGATAGTGACTCCTCTTGGTGGGATATAGAGAAGCTGTTTTTATGACCACTTTTCTACAAATGATAAAGCAGGGATTAAAAGAGGAAAAATAGGGATTACACTTTACAAACCCAGAGTCAAACCTGGGCACTGGTGGCTCACACCTGTAACCCTAGCTACTCAGGAGGCTGAGATCTGAGGATGGTGATTTAAAGCCAATTTAGGCAAGAAAGTTTGTGAGACTTTTTCTTGTTGTTGTTGTTGTTATTGGTCGTGGGTCTTGAACTCTGGGCCTGAGCGCTGTCCCTCAGCTCTTCAGCTCAAGGCAAGCACTCTACCACTCGAGCTACAGCACCACTTCCTTGTGAGACTCTTATCTCCAATTAACCAGCAAAAAGCTGGAAGTGGAGCTATAGTTCAAGTGGTGGAGCACCGCCTTAAGTGAAAAAGCTAAGGGATAGCACTCAGGTCCTCAGTTCAAACTCCAATACCCACACAAACAAATCAAATCGAAACAAAACAAAACAGAAAAACAGGCCCTTCTTTTTAGTTGCTGTTTTCCCAGGCTCCTACAGTCCTGACTATATGACTCCATTAAG